CACTCACACTCACACACACACACACACACACACACTCACACTCACACTCACACACACTCACACACACACACACTCACACACTCACACTCACACACTCACACACTCACACTCACACACTCACACTCACACTCACACTCACACACTCACACTCACACTCACACACTCTTACCATAGTCAGTATTTTCTGGTTCCCAGCAGTTTGACGGCCAGAAGTACGGAGTCTGTGATCAACAGGAACACAGCAGTCAATGATGGATCAATGTTTATTTCAGATCTCACACAGACACACATATGAATTACATTCACTACACAGGAAAACGATGTGGCCAAATGACCATCACAGACACATGATGAATGTTTCATTTCAGAATCCTCTAGAATCTCACTGTGTGTAGAATATGATTTGACCTCAAACCTACTCATTATGGCTGACCATACAGTGAATATCAATAACATCATGAAAACAAAGAATAAAATCATGAATATGTGTCTGAATATTAATGACACCATGAATATTAATATGTATCAGAATATGAACAGTGAAATCCTGAATATGAATACTAAAATCAGGAATATGAATGTGAATATCATGAATTTGAATATGTATTAGAACATGATTTACTTTTTGAATATGTATTGGAATATGATTGACAGCATAAATAGAAATATGTAACATCAGAATACCTATAGTGTATATTAATGTGTAAAACATGAATGAATCCATAAATATCAATAATGAAATCACGAATATGAATATGAATATGTATGCAAATATGAATCATATGAAAAATGAAATCATGAATTTGTATTAAAAATGAACAAAACCATGAATATGTATAAGAATATGAATGAAATCATAAATATGAATAATAAAATGAAGAATATGTATCTGAATATGAATGAATATCAGAAAATGAATGGCATGTATATAAATATGTATCAGAATATGAATGACTTTATGAATATGAAAGAATCATATGAATAAATGACTATTAGAATTTGAATGAAATCATGAAAATAAATAATAAAATTGTGAATATGTATCTTAATATAAATGAAATTATGAATATGAATCAGAATATGAATGACATTGTGAATATGAATATGAATCAGAATATGAATAACATCATGAATCAGAATATGAACAACATCATAAATCTGAATATGAATCAGAATATGAATGATGTCGTAAATTTGAATACGAATCAGAATATAAATGACGTCATGAATATGAATCAGAATATGAATGATGTCATAAATCTGAATATGAATCAGAATATGAATGACGTCATAAATCTGAATACGAATCAGAATATGAATAACATCATAAATCTGAATATGAATCAGAATATGAACGACGTCATAAATCTGAATATGAATCAGAATATGAATGAAAACATGAATCTGAACATGAATCAGAATATGAATGACATCATGAATATGAATCAGAATATGAATGATGTCATAAATCTGAATACGAATCAGAATATGAATGGCATAAATCTGAATATGAATCAGAATTTGAATGACATCATGAATACGAATCAGAATATGAATGGCATCATAAATCTGAATATGAATCAGAATATGAATGACGTCATATATCTGAATATAAATCAGAATATGAATGACATCATGAATCAGAATATGAATCAGAATATGAATGAAGTCATAAATCTGAATATGATTCAGAATATGAATGACGTCATGAATCTGAATATGAATCACAATATAAATGACATTGTGAATATGCATCAGACTAAAACATGAATATGAATCAGAATATGAATGATCATGTTTCATCATGTTGACACACTTCAGACGGTCAGGAGTTTCTCAGCCAATCAGAATCTCAGAGCGTCTAACCTGAAAGCGGTAGAAGGTTCCGTCGTCCTTCAGCATGAGAACGTGGTCTGATATGGGGAAGAAATAACCGTGAGCCGCCATCAGCGTCCCCAGATGAAGAGCCTCCACTGCAACACACACACACACACACAGAGACGCACACACACACACACACACACATACAACTGGAGCTCTTGAGATGTTTCAGATGAGATGCTTGTTGTCCTTTAATTGCAGAAGTTGCAATCGTGTCATCTCGTCTCTGTCTGGAGTCGTTTCATATTTCAGAGCCATAAATGAACTCTGAGTAAATAATGCAGTTCAGCTCAATAATGCAATGAAACTAAACGGACAGTTCACCCAAAATACAAACGCATTGTTTACATCATTACATACGACTTCACAAAGATGCTCAGCATCTCCTCGTCATCCACAGAACAACGTCAGAAGAGTTTGAAATCATAGGCTGTGTGAACGATGACAAAATTAAAATGTTTAGATGAATTATTCCTTAACATATGAACACATTCCCTTTCCATCAGACTCTAGATCAGCGCTTCTCAACCTTTTTGACTCCAAGCCCATTTTTGACATTATTCAAAGCCTGAAAGCTCTGGTGTTGCTTTTAATTTTTTTTTTATTATTTAAAAGGGTAACTAAAATATAATTTGAATAATTAAATTTCTGTATTTCAAAAGTTTTAAGAGCTGGATTCTGTTATTTTTAACTAATGCATTTACTTTTCCAGTTGGAAAAGGATTTTAAAAATATTTTTACTCACAATTTCTACCTGATGAAAGCTTGGCATAACTAGAAAAATGTATATTCGTTATAAAAATGTCAATGGCGTTTTGAGATTTGATTCACTTCCATGACTTTTCCAGGTCTAGGAATCCCTTTTAAAACGAGGCTTTCTAATATATCCCAGTTTTCCAAGACTGTGAGAAGAATCCTGGTTCTTCAAAAGAAAGAGGGTGAAAACATAGTTTTTAAATATATTTTTATTTTATAATTATTACATTTAATGAATAAAAAGTATAAATAAAAAATATAAATATTTATAATAAATATTTTAGTTGTTTTAGCTTATTTTAATGCTTATTTGGTCTCATTTGAAATCATTTAAAGCCTCTGGGTGGTTGAGAAGCACTGATCCAGTTTCTTGTATGTTTTTTTCTACTGGAGTCTCTTCTGAAAGTTCAGTGTAATTCAACGCTTTCTTAAAGATGTGAAGGACCCTTTAGGAGGCGCAGTTGAGCCGTTCCACCAAATCTATTACAAAGTATGCCCTCGGGTCTCGAGAGAGACAGACACAGAAACACCTGCTGCCAGACCAACACACACTGTTCCCATAATGCACTGCAAATGAAGAGCAAACGGAGCCGGATCTGAATCTGACTGACATACAGGTGGACTAAACGCACTGAAAACAAATGCTGAGATTATGTGAAGGCAGATTTACATGCGTCATGTTTCCTCGGTTGACTGTACTGGTTATTCATCCTCATCACTGCTAACACAGATAATACAAATATGTTCTAAGAACCAGGGTTATTTTAGTATCACTGAGATACAATTTTTTATTAATATTTTGAAATTTTTTTTTGTAACTTTAGTTTTCATTTCAGTTAACTATAACCTTACTTAGAAAGTGTTGTAACTGTATTAAGTTATGAAAACGTTATTTCTGAATGTTCAAAACATCCAGTTTTTTGGAATGTTTAAAAAACTTTTTTTTTGGCTATTTGAATGTTAGAGAAAACATCGATGCGATTAATCGCGATTAATTGTTTGACAGACCTACAATTTTATTTACTTATATTTTATTATTTATTTATTCATTTATTTTATTTCAGTTAAAGTTTATTTTATTTCAAGCAACAAAATTTTTTTGTAACTTTAGTTTTCATTTCAGTTAATTATAACCTTACTTAGAAAGTTTTGTAACTGTATTAAGTTATGAAAACGTTATTTCTGAATGTTCAAAACATCCAGTTTTTTGGAATGTTTAAAAAACTTTTTTTTTGGCTATTTGAATGTTAGAGAAAACATCACAGGAATGTTCCATTTGATCATTTTGCAAACTACTTTTGCTTTGTTACTTTTGACAAATCAGATTTTCAGAATGTTACTTTTCTTTGAACATTCCAAAACTAGCATTAATGTAAAAAAAAGCTGAATGTCAATAATTCCATGAACAATGTATTAATAACATTTTTGTGCTAACATCTTAATAATGTGTCCTAGATAACACTGAACAAATGTTCTATTAACGTTACTGGATGAACATTTGAGAAAACCTTGGCACAATGTTCTGAGAACGTTCCCTGTTAGAACGCGTCTGTTTAAATGTAAAAGGTCACGCTGGGCTCAAAACAAATCAAGCTGAAATCAATGAAGCTCAGTGCATGTAAATGCCAGCATTTGATTTGCTTCTCAAGCCGTTTATTTACCGCCGCGTAATTGAATAACGACAAACGGTCTGAACGATCTGCTAGCTGCCTAACGAGTTTACCGCGGTAAACGGGTTTGCGGCAACACCAGCTGATTTGACAGGAGAGATACGCGGCTCTCTTCTCTGTCTGTAGGCTCTCGTGAGTTTGCGAGTGTGATTTCAGGATAGACACTAGACAGACAGTGTTTCACAGGTTAATATGATCTCAAATGTTACTGTACCTTGGTCTTCAATGTTCAGGTATACAGGTGGACTAAACGCACTGAAAACAAATGCTGAGATTATGTGAAGGCAGATTTACATGCGTCATGTTTCCTCGGTTGACTGTACTGGTTATTCATCCTCATCACTGCTAACACAGATAATACAAATATGTTCTAAGAACCAGGGTTATTTTAGTATCACTGAGATACAATTTTTTATTAATATTTTGAAATTTTTTTTTGTAACTTTAGTTTTCATTTCAGTTAACTATAACCTTACTTAGAAAGTGTTGTAACTGTATTAAGTTATGAAAACGTTATTTCTGAATGTTCAAAACATCCAGTTTTTTGGAATGTTTAAAAAACTTTTTTTTTGGCTATTTGAATGTTAGAGAAAACATCACAGGAATGTTCCATTTGATCATTTTGCAAACTACTTTTGCTTTGTTACTTTTGACAAATCAGATTTTCAGAATGTTACTTTTCTTTGAACATTCCAAAACTAGCATTAATGTAAAAAAAAGCTGAATGTCAATAATTCCATGAACAATGTATTAATAACATTTTTGTGCTAACATCTTAATAATGTGTCCTAGATAACACTGAACAAATGTTCTATTAACGTTACTGGATGAACATTTGAGAAAACCTTGGCACAATGTTCTGAGAACGTTCCCTGTTAGAACGCGTCTGTTTAAATGTAAAAGGTCACGCTGGGCTCAAAACAAATCAAGCTGAAATCAATGAAGCTCAGTGCATGTAAATGCCAGCATTTGATTTGCTTCTCAAGCCGTTTATTTACCGCCGCGTAATTGAATAACGACAAACGGTCTGAACGATCTGCTAGCTGCCTAACGAGTTTACCGCGGTAAACGGGTTTGCGGCAACACCAGCTGATTTGACAGGAGAGATACGCGGCTCTCTTCTCTGTCTGTAGGCTCTCGTGAGTTTGCGAGTGTGATTTCAGGATAGACACTAGACAGACAGTGTTTCACAGGTTAATATGATCTCAAATGTTACTGTACCTTGGTCTTCAATGTTCAGGTTTTTCTGCATCCACTGGACAATATCAGACCCTGAAAAACAGAAAAAACAGAAGACTGACTGGTTAAATTCAGGTTATATTCCCTGGAAACTGAACTCATCGTCCTGGTGTTACTGGTGTTACTCTCAAGAGTGAGTAGATCTGAATCTGAGGGACAGATTTTGAATCATTGAAACTTGAAAAATCTGAAGATGAATGTTGAGATTTGCACTATTTGCAATTTTTACACACATAATATCTGGAAGTTGACAAGAGACAGTCAGATTTTTTTTTTTAATTGGATGAAATATTTAAACTTGGTAAATCAAACTCAAGGTCATGGGTAATGGCAATTTTATTTCATTTCATTTCATTTCAAGTAAAATAAAATAAAAATATTGGATGAAATATTGGGGTTAGTCAAAACCAAGGTCATGGGTTTGATTCCCAGGGAATGCCAAGAAATAAAATAAAATAAAATAAAATAAAATAAAATAAAATAATAAA